TCCCAAAGCCTCTGCATGCCCCATTTTGTTTTGTCAAAAACGGCCCATTTTTTGCTCGTTTTTGCGCCCCCCCCAACCGCCAGGAGCACTCTACAAGCCTCCCAAAGCCTCTGCATGCCCCATTTTGTTTTGTCAAAAACGGCCCATTTTTTGCTCGTTTTTGCGCCCCCCCCAACCGCCAGGAGCACTCTACAAGCCTCCCAAAGCTCTGAATGCCCCCCCCCTTTTTTTGCAAAAAATGAGGCATGCACAGGGTTTGGGAGGCCTGCAGAGTGCAATTTTTTTTTTTTAATTTACCTCTTCAAAATCATGTTGTGACTTATACTCCGGTGTGACTTATACTCTGAAAAATACGGTACTCAAAATTTCCACTACTGGTTCTCCAGAACTGGTCAGCTGAATATCACCTCTGGTGTGTGTGTGTGTGTGTGTGTGTGCGTGTGTGTGTGCGCGTGTGTGTGTGTGCGCGCGCGTGTGTGTGTATACATACATACATACATACATACATACATACACACACATACACACATACATGGGTACATACATACACATATACACACGTACATGCATATATTTTTAATTTGATCTTACTTATTTCCGGTGAAGGTTACCTTAAATTCAAGGCTGCCTTCCTTCCTGGAAAATACGGCCATATCAGATATGATGATAATGCAAAAAGGATACTTGAACAGAGATATGAAAGTATAGGTTCACACAGAGGTTAAAACTGGCATTCAAATGTGGGATTTCTCAAGCATTTGTGTTCAGCTATGTAAAATTTTCTAACCCCTCTGTGAACTGGAGACATCTATGTATATGCTTGAATGGCTTTGTTTTAAGCCTAATTAGACAAGTTTATTGTAGAAGTCTTTAACAGTTCTAAACATTAATGGACTGATAAAAACAACATGTTCCAGGCTTTTGATCAGCCAAGTTCAAAATATGTCCCCCTCTGCAGTACAGCCTTGGCCTTATTGCTTGGTCAATGAAAGGAACCAGTTATACTTATTTTCCGGTCATTAGCTGTAACTGAGTGTAAGTCATATTATTTTAACCCTCATAAATGGTTAGTTCCTGAATGCATCTAAAAATTGTGGCTTAAATATTGCAATTGCACAGATACTTTTTCTGGTTCTATTATAGTTTTACCATTGTTCTATTTATCCCCTTGGACTTCAAGGGAATAAATAGAATAATGGACTATCAACAAGACACTGCACCACATGCTTATACATATACAGTATGCATACATAGCTATTTTTCTTTTGTAAAAGAGGAAAAATAAGTAGGATTTTGCCTCCTGTCTTACAGATGGTATCCACCCAAAGCAGTTTATCGGGCAGAGTTAATGGAAGATATGTTTGTTCATATAATTAGCCGCCAAGAACAAGATTAAATTACACTGTAGGGAATGCCAGCCATGCCTCTAGCTCTTATGACAGACTAATGACAGACTGTTCCGTTGAATTCACTTTAGTAGATTATTCAAACTTGTTAGTCAAATGTATTTGCTCCATTTGAAGCCCTATTGAAGTAAAACATTTAAGTAGTAGAACTCAAATCACAGTGCCGGGCAAAGACTTTTAGTGGAGAATATCTGTAGCTCGGGTGTAGGATGAGAGGGAAGACTCGTTCTGCAATCTTGTGGGTTGAAAAAACATGTTTGGGACCAAACACGGTTGTTTAAAAAATAATAAAGAACACTCAGATTTCATACAGGCCTCTGGAACTGTCCCATTGCTTTAAGTTCCATCTACTTTTATCTTACTGTAAGAGGTTAGCACCCACCCCTCTCCTAGAAAAATGAAATATTTTAGGAAACGTTAAAAAGGGCAGAATATTTTCCTAAAAAAGCGGTAGAAACTCACCACCACCACCCTGCTTTGTCAGTGGGCCATTAAGGCCTGAGCCATTCTATTCTACATAACAAAGATCTACCTCCGTCAGGCAGAGCCATAATAGGAATCCCAAAGCCCTTTCATTACATCATCACCCAGCAAGAGTCAACCAAATTT